GGGGGGGGGGGCAGAAATGACCCTGCCAGAGGCTCCAAGAGACCTGGGGCTCCCGTATCTGTCACCACCTCCCACCGAGGAGAGGGGGCAGGGCGCCCAGTGCTCCCTGCCCAGTGCCGGCCCTCCGGCATCTTACTTCTGTACCCTGCTCAGGGCCTGGGGCCAGCACTGAGTCTTTCTCACCTGAGCCGCAGAAAGAGGACAAAGGCCACCAGGAGGGCCACCAGAGAGACGCAGTGGCCCAGGTAGTTGATGATGACAGCGACATGGTAGTGTACCTTGCTTTTCTTCTGAGGTAGGAGAGAGGGACAGACGTGAGGCTCCCACATAGCTGCACCCCTGCACCCACTGGACACGTGAGGATAGCCCCCTTAGGTGGCTGAGACAGGGTTGATAATGATAATAGTTATTCGCCTTCCTGAGCCCTGACTATGGTCAAGCATGGCCCTGGAGCAGGGCCGTCCAGTTTGAGACTGTGTCTATCTATCTGTCCCTGAATCCCATGCTCTGCCCACTGCTCCATGCTGTTAGACAAATCCCAGCTAACTCGGGTCTCCACATCACACAGGGTTCCCTGCTCCACGTAAATGAAGACGTGTGCACAGCCCTCACGGTTCCATTCTGTTCGATCCCCAGGTGACCCTCTTGGGCACGGACACCAACCCTCTAGGACTTTTTTCCTCATCCATTTCTTTTTTTTTTAAAAGTTTATTAAGTATATTTATTAGGGAGAGAGAGAGAGAGCACAAGCAGGGGAGGGGCAGAGAGAAGAAGAGACAGAATCTCAAGCAGGCCCTGCACCATCAGCACAGAGATCCACGTGGGGCTTGAACTCATGAACTGTGAGATCAAGAGACAGACACTTTCACTGACTGAGCCACCCAGGCGCCCCTCCTCCTCTTCTAAGTTGAGCCATCATCTCTTTGATTACCCAGAATCCCTCCTCGCGGAGGGAACCTGCCCCTAGTGGCCACGGAAGGAAGGGCAGTTGCATCCACAGAATCATTACAGACCATAAGAACTCTCTAGGCTCCATAACGCACTTTCCAGGTCCTACCCCTGGTCCAGGGGGTCTGCTGGGAATGAATGGGACCCCTTCCCGGGATTATAATGAAGCCCCCCCTAACCCCCCGCCTCAGTGTTACCACTGCATAAAATAAAGGAAGCTGAGAAGTGCTGTGGTCTCTTCTTTCTGGAGTAAGTAAGCTCCCTGAGGCATGAAGCCTTTCCACGTCCAGAGTGTTTTCGTATCTCTTGTCTCCTCAACCTGTTAAGGCCACCATGTAGAGGAGCTGGAAGGGAGTCTATACCTTATTTTGCAGAAAAACAGGCCTAGAAGTATGTTGACTCATTCAAGGTCCCTCAGCCTCAAACCATCTCTTAACCAGACTGGCAAGGTGCTGAGACTGCAGATGTGGGCCCCATGCCATAATGGGGGACTGGTGGTCCCCATTGCCCAGCTCTATGCAGATTCTGCCCCCCAAGAGCAAAGCCCCTCTTCACCCTTTCCTGGGTCCCGAGAGGGGCACACGGTAGAGCTCCATAACTGTGTGAAGGAAGGACAAATTTTGTTGAAAAGCAACCGGCTTTGCAAAGGGCGAGGGTGTGAGGGGGTCCCTGTTAGCACCTCCCTCCCCTCCCCTTCTTGGGTCCTGGGGTGGGGCCAGGCCATGAGTAAGTTCACAAAGGTCACGTTCAACCTTTTAGAGCTACTGAAGAGCTCCTGGCTCTCCACAGACCTTCCTGTCGGAATTCCAGAATCCATGGGCATCAGAGCTGGTCCTAAGGGATCGAGTCCAGCCCTACTCACTTTCCAGATGAGGAAACTGAGGCCCAAACTCACTCACCCAAGAACAAAGGATGTACCTCTGCAGCCGGCCACCTAGCAGGCACCCGAGAAGAGGCCGAGCCCTCCCTCCCCTGCTCTTCCCAGAGCCCACCACACCCCTCCTGAAGGCACGTCCTCACTGAAAACCTCTGAGGTCCGGAAGGCCCAGGAAGCTCTGTTCTAAGGGGCTGGTTTGGAACATGGCAGGAAACCACATTAGCGGCTCAAGCTCAGAAGGGTTGAGACCCACTGAGGTATAAATGGGGACAGACAACAGAGAGGCGGGGGCAGACAGAGAAGTGGGAGAGAGGGTATCTGTTGGCACCGTGCAGATGGGAAGGGTCTCTGAGAGTCTGGCATAGAGCCAAACCCAGAGACTCCAGAAGATATGCACACATGCAGCCTGTCTGGAGCTTGTACTTAATTTCCTTTCATTAAATTTCCCACAAATCAGGGGCGCCTGGGTGGCTCAGTGGGTTGAGCGTCCGACTTCGGCTCAGGTCACGATCTCGCGGTCCGTGAGTTCGAGCCCCACGTCGGGCTGTGTGCTGAGAGCTCGGAGCCTGGAGCCTGTTTCGGATTCTGTGTCTCCCTCTCTCTCTGACCCTCCCCCACTCATGCTCTGTCTCTCTCTGTCTCAAAAATAAATAAACGTTAAAAAAAAATTAAAAAAAATTTCCCACAAATCCGTGCGGCGAAGCCCCTGGGTGATAACAGTACCTGTGGAGCTAGAACGGCATGACGCCCCAGCTTTGCTCACTTGCCCAGGTGGGCAGCATGAACAGGACATGCAGGGAACCCCTTCACCGCCACCTGCCATCAGCCACACTCGCCCCTGGACCCCCACAGCAGGTTGACCCTGGGTCGTTTGGTTGGAGGAGGGATGAGTGGGATTTATTAAGCACCTACTGTGTGCTGGGCACTGTGCCAGGTGCTTTACAGATGTCACTGCTTTCCTTTCTCACAGTGGCCCTCTGAGGCTGTCCTTCTGTCTCTGTTTCTCCAGCTGAAGAGGCTGCGTGATCAGCCCAAGCTGCCTGGCCAGCAATGGGAATCCAGGTCGCCTTAGAGACCTCTCCTCCCCTCTACCCCATGGTGCCTTTCCGGGAGACAAGCAGGGACCGAAAACAGACGCCCAGGACCCTCGGAGGGGCTAATGAGAGGTTTACTCCCCCGAGGATGAAAACTGGGCCAAACCATTCATGGGGGCCGCCTCTGGGTGACTCCTCCGGCTACAAGGCCCTGTGCTGCCTCCTGCCACACCAGCCTGATGCAGCCTGAGAAAGGGCAGCCTGTGAGGTGACAGGGCAGAGAGCCCAAGGAGACTGCCTGAGACACGGCAGGGCCACCCCAAGAGATGGCCAGCATTACCAGGAGACCTACCAGCCGCTCAAGAGACAGCTGGACACCCTTCGACATGGTCAGGAATACTGAGACGTGGTCAATGACACCCACAGAGAACGGCCAGCAATATCCTGAGATGTCTAGTGATACTTCAAGGGACCCCAATGACACCTGGGAGATAGCCACCATTAACTGCAGAAGCGGCCAGGATACCTGAAGGACAACGGACACAGCCAGTCCCTGGGCACCTGACCAGCACCCTGTCCCTGTTCCCCTTGGAGACCTAGGGCCGGCTGGTGCCCTGAGGAAGGTGGCACAGTGTGGCCCTAGGGCAGCGGCCCCTCCACCGCACCCTCAGTGACCAGAATCCAGTAAGTAACGAGCGCCCGGCCGACTTCCACCAGACTCTGCAAGACACACCTTGTCCCCAACGGTGGCAGCGTCAGACCTGTCCCGATGCCTGTTCAGGATGACTCAGTGCATCCTCCCTGCCGGGTCCCCGCTGCTCTTGTCCAGTATCCCAGCCCTGGTGTCTCTCCCGCCCCCGGGCCGTCCTGCTCTGTGGCTCCTCCTCACCAGCAGGTTTCCAAGCTACTCCCTCACCCCACCGGTGGGCACTCCAGCCCCTTGTTCCTCCAAGTGGGGTCCCCAGACCAGCGACACCAGCATCACCCAGGAGCTTGCAGGAATCTGAAGACACAGAATCTGAAGCCCTGTCAGACGTCTGAATCCTCGTTTTAGCAAGAAGCCCCAGTGATTCTTAAGCGTTTCAGAAGTTCTGGTCCAACTAGCATCGCTGTGAGCAGTGAGCCCCAGCCCACA